GCAGGCGGGCGTACAGCGGGGCGAGGTTCCGGCAACGCGAAAAAGCGCTAATGAGCTCAAGCAGAGACCCCAATTGCTGCTCGTCAGCCAGCGGTCCCCACCGCGTGCCCCCATCGCCGCCACCAGAACCCTCTGAAATGCAGCCGCTCGCCCACTAGGGAAGTAGACACTGAAGACTCTTCTCCAATTTCATCGTTTGTCTGTAAAGCCCCAACAGTTAGGAAAGGACCAACACTACGCTACGTAGATCAATTACTATTTTATCCGTTATTACATTGAAAGCAACGTGCGTTTGAAATCATGAATGAATTACGATCGCCCTGGAGTAAGAGCTAGCGCATCTACCTGACACCGCTAAGGAAAGTAGAACCCCAGTCGATCTACATGGAAAATGTAGGGGATAAAGTAAGCTCTCGGTCGATTTTCTCGGAGTACATCCCTTTTTTATGTTCAAATTCTACGGAATGACGTGTTGCAAGTTTTATCTCAATAAACAGTTTATACACCAACGTTTTGTACAACAATGACAATCCTCTTTGGGAGAAGATACTAGACAGTTATTTTCACAAATACTAGAACTGTTACTAGAGCTTCTTAGCCGACATTCGCTGACTGTGTTGTGAACAAAATCAGCCCCTGCCCGTGGTTTTTGATACCGAAAGTTTGAATGATTTTGATCAAAAGAACCTTAGCCCGGAGTCTTTGACAAAAGAACCATAGTCATTTTAATGTAAGTGTTCTCTGTGATTATTTTTCAATCATAGCTTATCTCAATCTGCAACGGCTACAATGTTTGCTTTGTGAATGTGTTTGTTTTTCTGGTTTTGTTTTTTGTTTGTTTGTTTTTTTGCATAATCAGTATTTTTGTTCCGAAACTTTGATGATAGTGTATAATATGTTCTTTTGTTGTGAATCTGATCACGCAAGGGAGAAAGTAATATCTAAGAAATAGATTATACGTCAATTGTAGAAATAATAGAAGATATGTAAACCAAAGAAAGAGAGGAAAGAGGACGTAGTGAGAGCAAAAAAAGGTTAAAGGACATTTTAATCACAGAGGCATCTTCAGAAGTTGTCTAAATATTTACTCATCTGCTAACTGAGATTTGCATCTAAATTTGTCATCTAAGGCAGATGCTAATGTGGTAAAAGAAAACATAGGTAATGATGATAACAGTAGTGGCGAAGAACAATTAATTGTTCGATAATATTCCAAATTGATTAAGTGCATTAAGTTCTTGCATTATTTCTTCAAATATTGTAATATTGCTACCCCCAACAATTATTTTGATATATAAATTTCTCATTCTTTTGAAAAAACACCATATAGTCCATACACCCTCCCCCTTTATCTAATAATTTTCCAGGTATCTCCACCAGCGGGGCAAACTCTAACCTAAAATCTAAACGTCGCAGGCTACACTCATCTCATGCTGCGATACGATTTGATACGTTTTAATGATAATTCGAAAGTATTTTTGCATGGAAATTTCGTGACAAGTTAAAATTAATAGTTACTGAAAAAATATACGGGGGGGGAGAATTTCACTAATTTCTCCCCATTGGATCCGCTCATGGTGAAAGAGTGCGTGAGCATGGGGAGGAGAAGGAAATATGGTCTGGTACTGATCGAAGAATCATGGGCAACCGAACAGAGCTGCCGACTGCTAGAATTTTCTTCCAAGCAGTGACTAATTTGACCTCGGGACTGATACCCTGGGACCTCGCGGTCAGAGCCACAGCAGAGAAAGCGGCAATGCTGACTCTGACTTAGCCGGTCTGAATATCTGAAATGAATTTCGCAGAACTAGGGATTCTATAAATGTTAATGTCCACGGAGTCGAAACTAGTTCCATAAATTTGGTAGGGTATTCGACCTTAGAGACGCGTTTGCAATTAATGTAAACTAAACTCCGCCCGCGCACTACCAGGAAGATGTTATTTGTTTATACTGTTCTCTCGTGAATAACCAAGAAACTTTGCCTAATTTGATTAAAGAGTTGTAGAAATTCCAAACTGCGTTTAGTATGTAATACGTAGACAAAGAACTGCGATTCTAAGAATAAGTAAGAATTGCACAAACTCACGCTTGGCACTATGTGCATCTGAGTATCGTTTGAGGATAAAGCATTTATCAAAGTTGAAAACGTTGCTAGAAATATACTGCAATAGAAAGAAAAATACATCGTTAACAACATATGATACATGAAATAATTATATGAATCGTCTTTGTCAACAATATATCAGTTTTCTGCTGTATGGAAGCCACAAAAACGAGTACGACGTAGCTATTGTAATAACCAATATTGTTGGCAATGACGACTCATATAATTATTTTATTGTAAATGTCAACGAAAACTCACCACAATACCAATATGATACATGTTTACTTTTAACTGTTCTTAAAATCATATTTTTGCAATTGAGACAATCTCATCCCCTATTCTCCCTTTACAGAAATGATATTCTGTGTATATTTATCTTTTCTATTCTCTAGGTATGTTTGGTAAGAAAGTTCACACCTATTCCATCTTTTAATAACGCCATTTTGGTAGCATTCTGGTAGCCATTGTGGTAGCAGATATCTTGTAGTAATCCTTAATATGTTAAAGGAAATAATCGTCCACAAAAGTTTTAATAATATTTATTATTACCCAGATTTAACTATCAGAAAAACTTTTCCAAAAGATGGCTGCCACCTACATGTAACCAGCATGTTTTGCAGTTTTCATATTTTTTTACCATGTTGTGAACATTCATGAGTGATCCACGTTGCTTGGGCTGACTCACTGAGGATGGGAAAAAGTGTTTCCCGAAAGGTAACTCTGGGTAATAATTGATAAAAATTATTAAACTTTTTGTGGACGATTATTTCCTTTACCATATTAACGCCATTTTGTTAAACGCGTCCAAGAGTGTCAGGCATAGCAAAACATATGCATCAGCATTTGGGACACTCTCAGATGCGTTTACTCAGCAAGATACTTCTTGCGCGAACTATTACGGGACTGGACGCGCGCCTTAAGAGCCGTTACTTAATAATCTTGTTTTCCTCGCACGTACTCCCTCAGAGCTCAGGGAGGCCTCTGTCGGAGAGAGGCAGAAGCTTCCAGAAGCCCTGCATCCCCCCTTCCAACTCCCTTGTGGAGAGCGCGGTAATTTAATACACGATTTATAATACTTAAATTCGGCCACCGCGCGTTTGGAACGCTGGAGATAACGCACGCACCAAGAGGGAAAATTATGTCCCACCGACCATTCGCGAGCAAATTTCGCGCTCAGTTTTTAGTAAAAAAAGCGTCGAGATAACACCGCACCCCGCATTTGCCGGAAGTTGCACATAACTCCCTCAAAGGAGAACAGCATGTGCCAAGGAATATTTTACCGATCTAATTAAAACAATTGAGGTGGTTTGCTCTTTATTCCGTTCATGAAGGGTTTTGTATGAAGGGAGTTGCTATTCTCCTCTTAAAGAATTTTCTATTATTTTGCAACGAATTTAGACAGCTCACAGTTTCATGCAACTCTCGCGTTCGACAACAATATTGTGCACGTTTCAAGAGGGCATTTTTACTTTTGCTATAGAAAAATAAGAACCGAAGCAAAAAATGTTGGGCGGGTTATTTCGACGTCATTAGGCTTGTCAAATTTTATCAACGCCCATTAATTCATCTAATCACTATCACCACATTGCTTACCTGTTCCGTGAACTCTTCTCCAATATTGACCACATCCAAAATCTATCTTCATTCACTCTTTGTAAAACTCCATTCACCCTACCCGCATCACAAATAAATATTAATTTCAGATCTTCTGAAAAATATTTACAGATCTAGAAGAAGACTTGTGAGTTACTATAGCGGTTTCCTCAACCTTTGTATTTTGCGTTTGTCTTTGAGTTAAGTTTTTTTTATTTAAAAAATGACAGGCAATCTATCTTTGAGATGTTCTATTAGATTTTTCACCGCATAATAGACTCACAAAGGTTTAGTAGGCAGAGGAAGCTCTACAAACCTCAAGAATACTTCGCCCGTACGAGCTACTTCAGAAGTGAGATGGTCGATGCACTCTAACTTGCAACATCTCAAAGGTTTTGTTGCAATTATGTTCTACGTTTCTTGATATCCCATGCAATGTAGTGATGTATCATTGTGACGACCCGATGGACATTCTTAGAGAATCGTGCATCACTATCATCCGTTTATTGCTGTGTCATCTGCAATAATGACAGTTGTAATTCGCAGCTGTGAATTTATTGGGATACGAAATGATTTCAAAAGATGAGTAAAGAAGTTCAAACATTCTTGCATAGAGTGGGACTTCAAGCCAAGCAGTTGAACGCTGCTGGTTTTCCTGACCACGTACTATGTGTTAAATATTTATGAAACTGGTTTTGTTCCTAAAATAGTATATTTTTTCAAGAATGATTTATCGCATCAAGCATTACAAAAAGAAAACGTGAAACGAGTAGTAACAAACTTATTTAAATGGTAGTGACAGAACCTTTTACAACAAATATTGTT